AAGTCCCTGAATACAAGTACTGTGCTAGAACTCTAGCCTTCTTAGATGGCACAATGCCCTGTTGGTATCCTAAAGGCCCAGCTTCACTGCATTCTGGAATGCTATAGCTCCACCAAATCTTCAGGCTGGAGCTCAAATCAAAGCTTTGGGGCTCCTAGAGTGCACAGATAACATTTTTGTAAAACGCCTTTCACACTTCTACAGAGTAAGAGGGAGATTGGATGGCTTGCCAAATGTAACTTTATCTGACAATAGATTAAGTTATTTTTATGGTAAATCGATCTAATTATAATTTTTTAAGATTGTCGCAACTGTGGCGCTTGTGGTGAAGAGGAGACCAACAAGGCGAGGGGGGAAAAAACATTCGAAAAAGAAAGCAAAACTACTGGCAGCACTGCAGGAGAACAAGGACAGTCCTTAAATGAGATGTGTGAAAAACAGAGTGCCACAGGATTTGCCTGGACTTTTCTTTGTTTAACCTTATCCACAAAATAGTGTTAACACATGAACTGTACAGAGTATATTCAACATTGTAGGTATCTCTGCATGCTTTTGTTTGAATAAGGTGTGTAAATAGACGACGGTTTTATTTTGTGAACAAAGTCGGTGCATATTGTAAATAAACTGATAACAAAATCGAAGTGTTGAACCATTTAGCGTTTTGTGTATCTAGTTAAAATATGAACTTGGTCTCATTACTACATGCACAAAATTTGGCAAACCAGTAGCTTTAATGCATGAGAAAACTCATTGATGTGCATATTGAATATTCACAACCAACTACAGTAACTCGGTAACCAAACAGATTTTCTTTCTCTGGTCTCGCGTGGAACTCAACTCGAGGCCCTCAAACATTATATTTTTAAACTTACAAGCAAGATAACCTGTACCTTATCTAAAGTAGCAAATGTTCATGGATGTCTCTGTGCATTATAGTGTAATTGGGCAGTTTTGTTGGTTTACCAGTTAATACATAGTGTGAGGCCATACCTGGTTGGTTAAATATTTAAATACATAGGTGGAAATGTATCAAACCTGGAGCAGACACAATCTAGAGCAGTTGGGCTTGGTAACCAATCGACTTCTGTTGCATTTAAGTTAAGCTTTGAAAATGAAATATAAATGCTGACTGGTTGCCGTGCACAGCTGCTCCAGATTAAATCTGACAGTTCTCATTGAGGGAAATGTATCAAAACTGGAGCAGACAGAATCTGGAGCAGTTGCCCAAGCCATTCAGCTTTTATTTTATTATAACCTCTCCCACTGCCTGAATGCCTCAGGTTTTTGTTCCTGGTGTACTGAGAATGGACTTCTGCTTTTTTTGTTTTTGCCTCTCCTGTTGTCTCTTTACTGCTCCAGGGACTGTTTCCTTGGCTCCCGGCTGCCTTCAGTGATGGTCATATGCCTATACTATAGGTGCAAAGGGGATGGCACCTGCAGCCTTGCCTTTTTCTTATGCGTGGGCTCTTCATTTCAGCAGTCAACCAACCCGCAAATTTTCCGTGAGCATTCATTGCTTGGTGGTGGCCTCCTTCGAGGCTTTACCATATGTCCAATATCCTTCCAGAGCATTGCAAATCAACATTTCTGGCAGTTTGGGACAGGCGGGATAAGTTTCTGGACCATTGCATCCGCCTGACCCCTAAAATCAGGCTTGCTCTGGCCTGGGGGAATCACGAGTCTGGCGCTGGAAATGGAAAAATCCTCCCTTCTGATGTTCTGGGATGTTTTCACCACGGATTCCAGCCTATTGGGCTAGGGAAGAGTACTCAATACTCTTGGTGATTTAGTTATTCCTTCAATGCTGTACAACTTGACTGCAAGGTCATCAGACCAGGATTCAGCCGGACAACGCTACAGTGGTGGCTTACCTCAACCATCAGGGAGAAGCCAGAAGTCTTGCAGCTCAAAGGGGAAGTGCAATCTGAATTTTGCTTGGCCGGAAAGGCGTATTCCAGTACTGATGTCTCCATAAAGAAGACCTGTCACATATTTTGCTATCACATAGGGGGGGTTTATTAGCCCCCGTATGTGATAGCAATTAAGTTTAGTGGAAAAAAAAATGTAAGCCCCCCCAAATTTAAAGTTACACATAAAAAAGAATACAAAGACAAAACTTTTTTAGTCAAAGTACTGCAGCGCTGAACACTGAAAAATGGCCTGGCCAGGAAGGGGGTCTAAACACCTGGTCTTGAAGTGGTTAATGTTTGGACATGCAGAAACTGTTTTAGACCTCTGCAGAAGGTGGTGGACACATGACATGAACTTCCAGGCTTAATAATAAAGTGGACAAATTTGTCTACAGGTCTAGGGATCATCTTTGCTTTGTGGTGGATGTCCTGGTTACTCTGTGGCATCAGTTTAATCTTTATTTGTGCTTTTTGTACTCTGAAAGCCCCCCCCCCCCCTTTGTTTTTTTTAATCTCAAAACCCCCCCCCCCCCCTTTTTTTTCCTGTCTCGCAGTATCAAGATGGAAGGCATATGGATATTCTTAAAGCACGGAACTAAAAAAAGATGGAAGTGGTACTCGGACCTCCTAAGGTTCCTGGCGGACTATCCGTGTGCCCTCCCATGTAGACTAGATCTTCTGTCCTAAGGGCCAGCTTACAACACTGGCTTTAACACCTGCCTGTTGAGGCCAAGGGATTGTTGGTCTACCAAATTTAGGTTTCCCTATGCTTTTAAAAGCTATGAAGTTGACTACTTGCAAAGTTTACCATTGCACCCAGAAACTGCACCCTGTATTTCTCATTACGTGAGGCTTGGAATTCTATTCCAATAAGTATTCTGTGGACTGAGTTCTGGGACTGGAGAAGCCAGTCTGATCTGCGTCAACGTTTGGTCTTAAGTACCATCAATAGTCAAATCTCAGCCCTAGCTATTCTTGTTTTTGTTAAGGCCTTTGCACAGTGTCTTGCTCACATTGTTCCCTCCTGTACTTTTCCAAGTGACTCTGTGGGATCTCCTGGTTCACTTGGCCTTTTAAAGACCACTCTTTCAGCCTGTTAGGTATATTGATCTGTCTTTCCTTACTCGCAAGCCTGCTTTTCTTATTGCCATCACTTCTGCGAGTTGAGGTTTGTCTCACACAAGGACAAGCCAGCTTGGGTCACAAGCTTCTCCAGGTTGTGCCGCTGCCTTGAGCCACATTTGATGTCTTGGTTTCTCCCTTGTGAGCTGTTATCCTTTTGTTTGCTCTTGCCCAACCTTCAGTTGGACTGCTTTTGGATGTCAGTGTTCCAAATTACTATCTGGTGTCCCTGTAATGTACAACTAAGAAAGTAGGATTTTGGCATTTCCTATTAAATTATTTTCTTGGAGTACATTATATAGTTCCCTCCCCTCTGTTCTTACTCCACTCCTTCATTGCTTGCTACAAAACTGAGGCATGCTGAGTGGGAGGGGTTATACTGGGCTGTCCTTACATCACTGCTTTGCCAGTGTTCAAACTCCTGAAGGATTACCCAACCAAGATTGCTCATGTGTCCCCATAATGTACTCCAAGAAAAAAAGATTTACAGGTAAGAAAAAAAAAAAAAAGCATCCTTTTTTATTTTTCTATTTATCTTCCTGTGTCCAGTAATACTTTTTGGCAAACTCTAATTATAGTGCCAGAGAAGGTATTTGCGTATAGTAGAGGATGGCAGATATGCTAAAAGTTTCTGAAAAGCTACTGTCTGAATATGTAATGAGCATTTGAAATAAATGCATCTTGAAATGTAAGTCTGAAAATTTTACTGTGCCTTTTTTATTACGGACTTGCTTGCACTGTTTATATATTTTATTAAACTGCATTTGAGGTTTTTGAGGGATGGTGCATTAATGGTTTAAGCGGATATTCACTCCCTAAGATCTTTTGCATAAGTGTATGTGAACATGCCTTGCAATGAGTGCTAAATTGTGTGCAGACATGCATTACTGTTTGATTTTCAGTGGAACAACATGCATGTTAAAACATAAAAATGTGTGAATGCAGCCTAATGGAGGCATTAACTGCAAACTTCCACCCCCAATGGTCAAGCCATTTTGTAACACAAATGTTAAATTAGCTGTGTAAAAACTTTTAACAAAACCTAGTAGAAAAAATGTGAAGAGAAACCTTTTTGTCAACTCGAGTTTAAATAACTTCTATAGTGACCCTCTGGATTGTAAGCATTGATAAAACAAATTATATTCTAATCTTTCTTATATACCTTGTATCCCCCTTAAGATGTTTTTATGTCTCTCTAAACAGCAGTATTATCAGTGCTCCTCTGTATAATGGTTGCTGTGTTCAAGTTCAAGGTTTTAATATTAAATCTGTTTAGGCAGCTTGGTTATCAGTTCAGAAGGAAATCTTAACTCAAGCTCTTTCCTCCTCTCCAAAAGCTGTTTCAGATAAAAACCCATGTTCAATATGCATTTGTGGATCATTTCTTTGGCTAATAAGCAGCAGTCTAACAAAAATGTCTTGGTAAATGTTATATGCTTTTCCAATTCATAAACATTGCTTGAGTGTAATAAGAAAATAAATGCTTAGTTTGTTACAAAGCAAGGAATCGCTGATTAGGGAAATGTGACTTTTATTTTCAGTTTGTGACATCTAAAGTTTAGATTGTAAGCTCGTCTGAGCAGGACATTTTAACAACCTTATTTTGTTTAACAGTTATCATTTTGTATATTTAAAAATGTTGGATCTACTTAATTTGCTTGTACTTAATATTTGTAGTTTGAAATGTTCCTTTTCGTGTTTGTGGATTTTTGCTCATGAGCTATTGCCATGAAAGAGAATCAGGCAGGACTTCGTGTTATGTAGTCATATTGCAAGTTGCGCTTTGCCTGAGTATACAACTTTTATCCCTTTGTACTTTATAGGCTAGAAACAACTTTTCTGGTTCTCTTTATAGGAAATCATTACTAACTTTTTTAGATTAACTTTTTTTCTTTTTCTTATAGTGCTAAAAATCGAAATCTTATAAAAATGTTTTAGGTTGACTGTGAAAACTATGTTTATTTTCAGAGAGAACAGGATATGAGAATGGGTGATATGGGCGTCCGTGGAGCAATAAACATGGGAGGTAGGGATCTTTACTGAAAACAAGTGCTCTTATTTTCATCAAAAACACTAATTGGAAAATTGTACCTAATTTTAATTGTTCACCTTTTCAAATGCAGGTTCATGCTTATCTATGAAACCTATCCTGTATTCTGGGAATTAAATCTGAACACTCAGTTCCCTTTTTACTGACTGCTGGGAAACCAAGTTTAAATGGACGTCAACCCTAAATTTTAGACAAAAAAAATCTTTGATACACCTATGCTCTCAATGTACATTTTTCTGTGTTTTATTCTTTTGAAGACCCTACAAGGACAGGACGATACCTGCTCATCTGCCAGAAAAGCGCTCCGCTATTAGTGAACCTGTGCAAAGATCATGCACAGTAACGTTTTTACATATTCTTAGCAAACCTTAAAATCAGCTCTTATTCAGCTCTGTACCTAGGCATTGTGGAAAAAATGTCAAAGTTCACAACACACACAGTTTTTCTATGAAAAAAGTTTATTAGCTGGCTACTTTCTTAAGACACATAAGGTGTTTCTAAGCTGTTAGAAACCCCCTATTTGAGTCTTTGTTGCCATCTTTGAGGATCTTTGAGAAGTAAGGGGTGGCTTGTTTTAAAACTTAATGCTTAAGAATATGTGGAATTTCCATAGTCTGGGCACTTGCACTTTAGCCCTTTCCCTGCAAGAGCGATTGTATTTATTGCACACATGTTAAAATACACATTTAAGCAAAGACCCTGTAGAATCAAAATTGGTGAAAGTTGCAATTTTGTATGTAACATATTATTGCAACTATAATTTCAGTAAAAAATACACACATTTTAGTGCCCACAAACACTGCTCAATTTTATGGTAACATTTAAAAGATGGTTATTTCTAGTAAATACCAGATATGTTAAGTCCTAAAATTGCGTAGGCCTGTAAAATGGCAAATACTGTGATATCTAAAATTGTCCATAAGCAACTCTCTAAAAGCCTATTGCAGGTCATCAATTTAGGGTTAACAGTGACAGATGTCACTAGAATTTTTGCTTTCTCTCTGAGAGCCATGTTTCTGAGCATGTAGAAGTGATCAGGTGGCTAGAAAGCAGACAGCCTGCAGAGAAGATAAACTCCCAGTCACTATAGCAGCCGGTAGTCTCTTTACTTGTGCTGCCATTGGCATACGTACTTAAGTCAGTGGCCGCAAAAGGGTTAAGTCCTGTTGTAGACTGACAACACAACTTTTTTTTTTGGGGGGGGGGGGTCCCTTAAGGACTGTTGGCCCCCCCCCAGTGCCTTTTGCAAACCACTACTCGGCCACTTTCACTCTTGGCTCTCTACAACATAAAGGCTAATCACTCTGAAGTCCACGATGAGAACGAAGAGGGCTAAATAGCCTCTCTGAGATAACACAGGAAGTGTTCAGATGACACAGAACAGCTCTGAATTTCTGACAAAATGTAATGGGTTTATCTTTTCCTTCTCAAACAGAACTGCCAAAATGCTTCCCATTGTAACAGGCCAAATAAGCAAGCAAATGAGCAGTTAATAGGGTTTACGTACACTTTTTAACAAAGGTTTTACGTTTCTGTAAAATTTGAAAAATTGCAGTGACTGCCTCATCCAGTTTCAGTATGCCCCCCATACTGATTATACTTGTATAAGGATTTCATTATGAATTCAGTAGATCTTCTGCCCCTGCTATGTCAGTTTAAACTTGGAAACCATGTTTTTTAAATTGTAAGATGGGTATAGCTTTTTAGAAACTTGGACAGCAATAAAATTTAAGGAATTATTTTTTTAAAAAGGCATTTAGTTTAGGGATTAGACTAAACCCATCTCCTCCTATTTTATTGAGTTATTCATGCAAATACAATGCTATCGGAAAATATAAACTTAGTGTCATGAAAGCACTCCACTTCCTGTAGTAACAGTGTATCACCCGTGTGCAACTTGAATACTTTTAAGGAATGACAAAGTGGCCCTACTTCCATCTTTTAAAATTAACCTTTAAGTTTTATTGGCATGTTAATGTAATGTTACTTAAAAATTTGCAAGAAGACTCTTCCTTTTTCCGAAAATGTGCAGCCTAAGCTGAAAATGGTGTTACCAATATGCAAAATAACAGCCAAGTCTCAATCCTCATTTCTAACTACTCCCCTGGCAGATATATGCTACAGGTAGGGTAGAGGTGCCTCTAACATGCTTGGCTGTGTTTGCAGTACTGGTTCAACTTTTCTTTGATGTGTAAGCCTAGATGGTGGTTTTCATCGAAGGGTCTCGGCGACGGACTGGAGCAGACACATTTTTCATTTATAAGCAGAATATATATTTTTGTGGTCTTTTCTGTAACCACTACCAAAAGAATGGCTTGCTTAAATTGGCTGACTTCCTTCATAATCGCTGTTGAATAAGTAAAAACTGATATTTTCTTTTGGAACCTAGGTGGTATTTTTATTGAAATATTACTTGAAATAGACATTTTATCAGAGTGGCAATATTGCATTTTTTCCTAAAATAATCATATAAAGATTCTACAAAGTTTTTATCACATTGTAATCGACTTGTCTGACCTTTTTAAATAAACACATTCTGATTTGATTTAAACTTAACTCCAAATCAGCTAATATTTGAGATTTATTTCTAACTGGATTTTCTCACTTCCTTACTTTTGTTTTGTGAATGGATAATGACTTCTCACTGATGCTGTAGTACATTGTTTGCAAAGCATACAGGACGCCCAGTAAACTGCAAAGCTCAATTAAGAAGTAGTGGAATCATCTTTCTAGCTATGCAGTACAGCAGATGTGTGACTAAAACTTCCTGGTTGCAGGGGAGGAGATTGAGGGCAGAGGAGCCATAGGATCCTGCTGTCAATCAACCTGTGGGGGGAGGAGGAGGGCCGTGGCCTGCTGCAAGGCTGTGTGTGTGTCAATGGACGCACACAGCCACTGCGAGTACCGGCAGGAACACGCATGCACGGATGCCTCCACAGCAGCCTCTTAGCTGCTGGTGAAACCCGTGCAGGGGGTGTGGTTTGAGCGATGCGGGGACCACTAGAAAACGAGGAAGAGAAAACTTTTTAAAGAAAAGGAACATACCTTTCATGCAAAAGTGGGCCTCCTAGTTCTGATTAAAAAAAACAAAAAAACCCCAGAACCTTTTTAATATCACTTTAATTCCCAGAATATTTTGCCATACCCTTTAGGGTGTTTTCTGATGCTTGCCAAGTGTTGTATAATGTGTACTTGAGATATGAGAATTCATTAAAATTCATTAAATGACGAATGGATATAGGATTAATCTTTTAAATCAGGGGTAGCCAAACTCCGGCCCTCCAGCTGTGTTGGAACTACAAATCCAATGAGGCATTGCAAGATTCTCACACACGACTCCCGGACAGAGATGCATCATGGTATTTGTAGTTTCACCACAGCTGGAGGGCCGGAGTTTGGCTACCCCTGCTTTAAATGCTGTTCAGTTCCCTTTGGCTCAACCATGAAAATGATCATTACAGATGAAACCTGCATCCCTGGAAAAAAATGTTTTTCCTTGTGGGATATGGGAAAACCATTATTTTCTTGTATATGGGCTGTGTAATTACTGTATTGATATAAAAATGTTAGTGTGGGTGCTTTTGTACTAGACTACAGTGACACTTTTATTATTTGAGTATAAAATTACCACACAGTACAAGCTGTTATATTTTATGCTACCTTTTACCCGCTATCCTTCGTGTCTCCTATCCCTTAAATTTAAGATTATTTAAACCTTGCATATCAATTATAGAAAACTAAGGGGTGTATTTAGAAATTCTTGGGAATCCAGTTACGTTTACCACGATGGATTCACAGACATTCAATGTACATTCTCTGTACATTTGCCTTATTTTTAATATGATGAATGTTTGAGTATATAGATGGAGTATTGAGTGAATGATTTTGTGAATCTTTATAAATTGCACAGGATATAAAAGGTTCTCTCAGGGTATTTGCATTACACTTCTAGAAACATCACATTGGCTAATTCGCAAAAGGCATTAGCTTGCATTATCTGCCTGCAGTATTTAGTGTTGCCAATAAACTGGAGAAACCAGTTTCTTGGTAACCAAAAACATGGAGATAAAATACAGATTCATAAGAAATCAGGGCTTTCAATATTAAAGGGTTTGCTTAACCTTTGCAGTGGGGCTCAATGTTTAGAGACACTCACGTCTCCCCAGTCATGTATGTTTACCCAGCCTTACTCCCTCCCATCTCCTTGCTGCAGCTTGGTCACCTATGTCAGCTTTGGTGTAAACTGGCATCAGAGTTAATTTTATTTCCACTTTTGTTGCCAAATTGGGGTAGCAGCTAGTTTATATTTTACTTGTTCTTATTTATATAGCATAAGTTGAGAAAAAAAAAGTTTCCCATTAAACACCTAAATCTGGACTGTGCTGTCAGATTTGTTCACCATTGTAAACTAGATTTGATCACTGTCCTAACAAAGAGTTAAAGTTCTAGAATCATTGTATGTTGATGAGCGAGAACTTTCAATTGGGACTTACTCCCTTGTGAAATTGTTTTGAGTAGCTTGCAGTCTGCACAAAGGTCTAATACAAACAAACCTATAAAAGGTAAGAAATATATAAATAGAAAAAAATATATATATATAATTGGGTATACTCTTTGAATGGAAACAAAAGAATATAAACATTTAGTGTGGTTTTCTCAAATGTAACTGCAAAAGGGAAAATACACTTTAAGATGGGGGGGTCAAAGTCATGATCCCTTCCTCATGTAACTATTTTCAGGCCTGGTGGTTGAAACTTAGGCCTGAGCACTTTGACATGAGGTACGTCGCATGTATCTCCATACCCAGAACCCCGCTCTTTTAACAAGGCAGTGCAGGGTAGTGTCTCGGCGAGTGCCTTAAGTGTCCATTCACTAAAGTATAATAAAGGAGGGAATTTTAATTGGCAAGCATTAGTTGGTACTTTTTATGATCAAAATTACGTTTGCATAACAGTTGCACACAGTTCAGCTGAAGCTTCAGCATGTACAATGTGTTTTGGCAGTATTTTTATATGCAAATTAGAATTCACAAAGATTTCCACAAGGGTTTAAAAAAATCTGCTAGCTTGTGACTGCCAATAAATGTTGGAGGTAAAGTAGCAATGCCAGAGGAAACTATGTGTTAAAATGAAGGCTTTACAGTAGTCGAGTAATGTGAAAAATTATTCTATACCTACATATTTTTATGAGAATATTGTCATGAAATAACAGATTGATATCTCAAATATAATTTAGTGAATTGACCCTCTTTATATTTTTTTGTTACAATAAGACACAAAATCCATGATACATGTTGGTGAATGTTATCCTTATTAGCTCTGAACAACACAAGTGTTTTTAACATTGATATTACTGCACTTTAACGTGATGTAAATAATAAACAAATTTGGGAATGAACGGTTGTAAAGATATGGCATAGCCCTGTAAAGCATGTGAGTTATCCTTGCAAATTAACCCCTTGGTGCTAGCGGTGGTGATGTAATTTTTTTATTTTATTTACCAATTTATCTACATGATTATAAATATTTAGAATGTTCCAAAATGTTTTACTTTAGGATAAATCTTTGTGCTATGAGAACTACTAGTAAGTGGCTTAATGCATTGCCTATAAATACCAAAACCACTTTCTGTGTCTTTTGCTCAAGCACTATAGTACTTAATTGTGTAATTATTACAATAGACATAGGACAGCTCTAAGTATAGATTGTTTTACATAGATGCATATAATCCAGCACCTGCTGGTACCCAAGGTCCGCCTCCCATGATGGGCATGAACATGAACAACCGAGCAACAGTTTCGAGCCCTTCAATGGGTCCTGGTGCTTCAATGGGCTCTGAGGGAGCTGCAAGCCTGGGAGCTGCAATGATGCCAGATAATGGAACAGTGGTAATGTATCTATAATTTTTATTTACATTGCGTTTCCATTTGTGTTATAGCTAATATAGTATGTACTTGGAAAAACCATGCATGCATAAAAGAGGCTATGTAACATTTTTATGTGGGTTTTTTTTTGTGTGTGGAATGTTACATGAACTATCGATAGAAAGCCTTCTTGATTGTTTCTACTCTTTTGTAATATCTAAGTCTTTTCTTTTTATATCAGCTTTACACTTGTGTAATGTCTGTATGCTGTTGAATAAGGGGCAGTATATACTTCTCTAGGTATATGTTGGCATATAATACATTGTTATTACAATGTCCTCAGTACTTCACTAATTAAAACCATTTATTTATGCTGCGCTGTGAGTGCAAATTGCACAGTTCTTTGTAAACGTATCAGTATTTGTATTAATGCCGTATACCACTTTTTGTACTTACGGTTTTACAATGCTTCATTGTCAGCAATGGAGTTTATTTGCCAACTTTTTTGTATTGCCTCTTAAATTAGTAATGGGGTATCTGGTATAGATGACTTTTTTGTCGAAGTGCACCTTTATTAATTATAAAATAACTTTTCCTTTTTTTATGGACACAATGATTAAACTTGTAATACTTCTGGCAGTTGTGTATTTTGTGCCATCATCCATTTTGTAACTATATAGTTTTCAAACTTCAATAGAATGGCTGGCTATATTCATTTATTATTTTTTATAAGCAAGTCTTCAAGAAAGACTTGGGTATTCTTTCATTATTTTTTTTTAGTATATGCACAAGTTTATTGAAAAGCATAAAATATTTCTCAGTATTTACTTCCTACTAAATTGTATACATATATGATTAGCAACCAAACTGTCTTAACCAAAACATTCTAAAATATACCATATGCAGTAGTTTTTAAGTGTATTATAGCTGTAGTTCAAACACTTGTGCATGTGCACGGAAAGTAGATACTGTTAAAGGGGGGGGGGAGATCAATGTTATATGGAAAAACTTTTTCTTTGTTTTCTTTGCCATCCCAGATGGCCATTTTTTTTATTTTGTTGTGATTGATGCTCGCCATATCTTCAGCATGCAAATCCAATTCATAGGATTGATTTTGGTTGTAAAGTTAGCAAAACGAATAAAATGGATGATGAGATATTCATTTGAATTGTAGTAGTGTTCCTGGTAAATTGTAAAATCAGTCATAAGATTTGCTGGATCAGTGCACTTTAAACTTTTTTTTTCGTGTTTGTTAAAATTGTGCTTCAGTCCATTTTTTATATTGTGTTTTCCTCATAATACAGTTACTAATTTAACTGCTCCTTTCTTCCTTTTATGTACGACTCTACCGGACTGTCTACTGAACGTCACTGCGCACTTTTGTGAATATTTATATTGGCCAATATTAATCTTGCGGGACTGCGTGTTGAACCAATGTGTTTATAGCGCAATGATAGATTCTCCCAGCCATCTCCATCACAGATGGGAACTCCCATGGTTAACAGAGCAGGAACTGAAGCTGCTCAGCCAGCAATGGGTGGTGTAAATGCAGTTGGTGTTGGACCTGGTGGCTATGGTAGAGGAAGCCAAGGGGGAAACTTTGATGGATCTAACAAGCGTCACCGTTATTAGTGGATCATTCTTCTCTGAATACATTTAGTATAAATTCCAGTGGAATGCCTTTTTTATTTTTTATTCATTTTTAACATTGTTTTCTCACTTATAGCATTTGTAGAACTTTTTGTTATGTAACTCCTTCATTGTGTTTTGATCAGTAGTAAAATTCACTATGCCTCATTGTGAATGTTGAATATTATTGTGATTTAATCTATTTGTAACAGTGCTGTAAAATGTGCAGTTAAATCACAATAAAGGAAAATCTTATTCTGCTGTGTAATAAAGCCGTTTTAAAGGTAGGAATTTGGTGTCTAAACTTGGTAAATTAATTTCTTGCAGTAATACCCTTTTTATCTGCTGCAATTTTACTACCTTTTTGAATGCCAGTTTCCAGAGCAAACTTGTGTTTTCTTTTCCGACTGTACTGCATGCAGTGTGTCCTCATGAAGTCCTGCATGCTGCATTCAGGGTGCATTAACCTGCGATTTTCTATTTCAAATCAAAGAAAATTCCATCATGCACGTCAGGGCAATACACATAAACATAAAGAGTTGAATGTAGCCTTATTTGGCTTCCTGCAGTGTAGAACATAGTGACCAAGTGCTGTGGCTGCAAGTTACTTTTGGAAAAAGTGAGTATTGGAGCCACAATTAAATCTACAACTACCATGCCAGTTCCAATTCTGGCCTGCACTGGTAACAACATCCTGGAGTTATTCATCAGTCTGGCGAGGGTAATCTTTAAATTTGTAGGCCTGGAAAGCACTTTTGGTAACATCAAATAAAAAGTGTGCTTTTCCTAAAGGTGGCACAATGTGAAAACATGTTATGTGTGCACGTTATAATTCAGTGTGACTTGCTTTTGCTGTTGCTGGGCATAAAAGATTTCCTTTCTTTAAGGCAGCTGTAGCTTTCCATTTGTAGGAAAAGTAAGCTAGTTTTTGAGTTCAGGATGGAGTTTTCTTCTAAGGTGGGAGTTCTTAACCTTTATATGATTACAGACTCCCAGTAGATATGCCAGATGTATCCCCCATACCTTCTGTATGAATGTAGCACTGTTGAAATCCTCATCACTAGTAACAGCATGACTTTTAATTTGCAATCGGTTTTACTTAACATATGGATTTCTAGGAAAAGATCAGCTGAAAAAAATCTTAAAGATTTATTCATATAAAGTCTGCAAATGACAAATACCTGGGCTAACTTCAACAAGAGATATCTTTTCTTTTTTGTACAATCAAAACATTGACTCAAGGTATAGCTTTGGATACTGTTACTCATAAGTCGCATGACACCAAGTTGATTTCTCCATTTTAAAATGTAGGTTCACTAAGTGTTTATTCACATGGGCGGTTAGCTTCTCCACCATTGAGAACCTTTGGCCCTATGCACAAGTGTGTGCATGCAACCTGATTTGTACCCTGTAATTGCTCATGTGAGCGCTTTCGTGCAGTCAAGGCCTCTGACCAGCCCTTGATGCAGACAGTTGGCATCTAGGGCCAGCATTTTTTGGCTGCTTACAAACAATGCAGCTAATTGTCCTGTGTGTGTGGCCATAGCACATGCTGTGTCCAGATGTTTTTAGAAGCATTTAACTGCATCTGAATGCAGCAGCCTAATCTTGTGTGTGAATGAATCCTATGCAGATAATCCTAATATTTTTATCTGGGTTCCATGTTCCCAGGTTGCAAGGGTACCTCTCAAGAACTCCTATTCTGAGGTTTCTTGGGAAGTAACTGCTTTTGGTGCCATTTATAGGGTATCTAAAGCTAAAAGCAAAACAAAAATGTAAATTATAGATACAGTCCTTAGATGCTGTGGCCACATTAGTTTTCATTTTTCAGACTAAAGATATTTTCAACAAGTACAGAAAATGCGTTTTTTATTTTGATGAACAGAGTTCAACCTTTGTTACAGCCATGGCTTTCTCCATAGATGCAATCTGCAGTATTTGCAGGCTCACCAGGGGAAATCTGAGGACTGGTAAGCTGCAATGCATTACATTTTTTTGTTTAAAGAAGCTTTTAAAAGGCTGTACAGTCCAGTTATATGAAGTATGGTTACACTATTCACACACGGCAGACATTCAAGGTGGCACATTTTATACTGATGACTTTCAAGAAGAGCAGCCACTGTTTTGACTATACTATTTCAAATTTTCTAAAGATTATTAATTTTTTCATTTTTGTTTCTCAAGAGTTGGGATTATTCCAAAAATGTAATATAGTAATATGGCTTGTGATCCTTTATCCACATTGCATTTAAACCTTACAGATTTCCTTAAAATTATATTGTGGTTTTATGTGCACATTTGACTATTTATTCAGTTTTCTATCAGACAATTACCTGTGTTCTATGTTTGATTTGTGACTCCTATGGTTAGCAGAGCAATTTACTATAACTTACAATTTACATAATAACCTTTTTATTATGTTCAGTTTTTCTAGTTGTATAATTTTTTAATTTATTTTTTGCTTAAAAAAAAAAGTTTGCATTTAAGATCTATCTTTGTCTGTATGGAGTAAACAATTGCCTATTTTGTTTTGAGTTTAGTCATTTGCTCATTTGGTTACCCATGGTTACATGTTGCAATTCAATGGAAACCTGCTCTGAGAGATGCATGTGAAATGCGAATTGCCTTCACTCATAATTGGTCATAATTTCCTTTGACATTATTGCAGGAGTTTACACAGTGCTCTACACTCGAGGAGCTTACAATCTAACATCCCTATCTCACATACAGGTGCAATTTAGACAGGAGCCAATTAATCTTTCAGCATGTCTTTGGCGTTGGAAGTAGATGCCTTTTTGTGCCTTTCCCATTTAAGGCATCTGCTTGTAAAATGTATGCAAGTTCAGTTGAAATAAAAAGAAAAAACCTAGTTGCTTAGCTGCTTTTGCTAATCAAGTGGCTTTTTAGTACTTTAAAACAGAACTAAGTCTGCGTCATTGCATTTGGAATACTTGCACATTATGATACAGTAATCTGTTTCGCGCCTCCTCTGGTCACAGGTCAGGTCTCTGATAGCCGCTCCCTCTGACACTGTCCTCTTTCATCACTTCTTCAAAGTTTTGTGGCATTCCTCTTTAGTCATTGGACAGCTGCTTATGTAACCTGATGTGCATGCACACTGTCGTTATATTGTCCTTGCTCTATTTCTTTTTTCAAAAATATTGTTTTAAATCCCGGGCAGAGAAATAATAAGTAAACCGTAATGAACTGAATCCAAACAGAGGAACTTATTGTATTTTTCGCTCCATGAGACGCACTTGTTTCCCCCCAAAAGGCGGGCAAAAATGTCTGTGCGTCTTATGGAGCGAATATTCCCCCTAGGTCTCGACAGTCTACTGCGCCCAGACCCGTCGCTACCCTATAGGCAGGCCAAGCAGCTGCTTGCCGGTGTGGGGGGGGGAGATGCAACTGGGGGGACCCTTTAAGATGGCGGCGATCACACCTGTCAGCGCTCCCTCTCTCTCCTTCCTGCCGCTGCAGCTTTAGAGCGGCCAGGAGGAGAGAGAGGGAGCGCTGTCAGGTGTGATCAGAGCCGCCTCTCTGAGCGTGTGGGGGTATACGTGCATGCAGAGCAAAATTTGCCAGGAAGCAGAGGAGTGGCAGGTAAGTTCCCGCCCCAGTCCCTGTCCCGTCGAAGTTCTCGCCCACTCTCCCCTGCAAACCCCCCGCACTCGCAGCCCTTCCTCTCAGCTGTCACGAGTTCTAGTTAGACACAGGCAACACGGGCAGGTCAGGTGCGTCTAATGGAGCGAAAAATACAGTAATTAGGATACAAAGTTCCAAACGCACTATCATGAGAATAGACGATGATTAGAAATATCAGGAGTCCCGGACAACAGCAAACAAAAACAGCTAGAGAAAACAAAGGGAAACCTAACAGCACAGAGAGGGTCTGTTTGCTCTATTCTAGGCAAGCCAAGAATAGTCAGCATGCGCTTTGTGATTTCAAAGTTCCACTTTATGTTGCTCACCAGAAAATAGTATGCTGAACATGTTTTGTGATTTCAGTTTTATTACCTGCTGTTTGTAGGTGTTGTTTTTTTCTTTTTTTTGTCCATGAGTGGTAAAGCCAAAGACAATCCGAATGCTAGCATTTTTCAGGTTCTCCGAAATGGCAGCCTACATATCTTAGTACAGGTTTCCATTAAATTATGCAAAGTAGCCGCACACTCAAACGTGCAGAAACATGTCATTAAGTTCTCTTCAAAGGTGAACTCCTTTCCACAGTGAAATTCATTCAAGAAGGGTGTTTTAATGTAAACCTATAACAAACATAAGCAATTGAAATTAAACGTGTTGTGAAAAAAATATAAGCAATGGTTCTCTTCAGTAAATACTTCATGTCAAACAGGTGTAGTAGACTCAGCTGAAATTATAGGCAAATCCTTTTCTTTTCCTGTAAAAGTGAAGCTTGCCCATCCTTTCCACCACCTCTCTAACCTATTGTGTTAGACCTTTTAATGTAGTGAGGCAGTTTAATTTACAAACACTGACCATCCATGGCTAAACATGACTCTAGTAAAAGTCAAGATTTGCTTAGAACTTTAGTTACCAGAATCTCTGGATCTACTGATTTTTGTCCAAGTTTTTGCTTTGTTCATCAAATGCTAGTTTAACTAACTCTAACTTGATTTAGACTTATTTGCATATGATTCTCTTTTAATCTCATTGCAAATAAGATAGGTTCTTCTGTTTTGTTTCTAATTTCTGACTTTATAACATTTTATAAACCAAAAATGTTTATTGGAAATTAGCAGAAACTTTGCTTCACTGCTTAAAAATGATGTAATTATGTTTTATGTTGATGGCACATAAACCTAAATTTTTAAACTCCCAAATCCAAAATGTTAAAATAACTGGAAAATACATCAGTTAAATACTTTAATTATCTTTGAGTTTATAGACTGCTGCACTGTACAGAAGAAACCTGAAAGGGAAAACCTTTTGGGTTGTTTGCCAGTAGAGAAGCCTTGATCTTGCAGAGAAGTCCAAGCATTGTAACCTTTAAGACATTTTCTGAAAAAAATAAATATGGGAGAGAGAAAAATGTCCTTTAGCTATGGGGAAAATGTAAAAAAAAATTGTTGCAGTCTGTCACTAGCATTAACAAAGCAGTTTGTTTTTCTGAATTCCCCTGTAACATAGTTCAATCACCTGTTGACCCTGCCAGTAAATCATTTTTTGCCTACTTTTCTCTGAGTCCTAATCTTGGGACAAACCATATTACCTTGGTGGGGGTGCTTATAGTGGTTCTTTATTCTTATGCATAAACCTTTTCCCAAAGGAAATAATACTGTTGCTGTAACTGCTTAAAGGGTTAGCTGGAGTTCGACTTAAAGTTGTTTTCCTTAGGGTCACTACACACATTACAATCTCTGTACAATCAACTTTAAATCCACCAAAACTATGTAATAGGACCTACCTAAGTGTGTGTGTGGTGAGCTTCAAAGTCCATTTTTAAAACT